ACAGAGACACCCTGCGGGGAATCACAGGCCTGGGGACAGAGAGAACTTGGGGGGGTCACAGGGCTTGGGAACAGAGAGACCCTGCGGGGAATCACAGGCTTTGGGGACAGAGAGAACTTGGGGGAGTCACAGGGTTTGGGGATAGAGAGACCCTGGACAGGTCACACACCTTGGGAACAGAGAGACCCTGGGGGGAGTCACAGGCTTTGGGGATAGAGAGACCCTGGAGGGTCACAGGCTTTGGGGATAGAGACCCTAGGGGGAGTCACAGGCTTTGGGGACAGTCAGATCCCATTGAGGAGTCACAAGCCCAGGGGGTGGCAGGAGTCTGGGGTTGTCCAGACCCCAGTAGAGGTCGCAGTCCCTGGGGACAGCCAAAGCCCAATGTGGAAGGTTAACAGGCCATGGGAGTAACAGGAGGTGTCCAAGTCCCAGGGGTTCACAAGCCCTGGCTGAGGGTGTCAGGGCCCTGGGGGTGTCCAGACCCCCTGTGCCACCTAGCCCTGAGCCAGGGGGCTATCCTCGCCCTCTTGGTAACGCTCTAGCACTGTGTGTCCCACTGTGCCATCAGATCTGCCTGGGAAGTGACATATGTGGGTGCCAGGCTGGACAGGGCCCCCCACGGCCCCCCCCCGCCCCCAGGGGCTGGAGCTGAGTCCAGGGGCTGCTCAGCATTCCATGCCCCGTGACTCACAGTCCCACATAGGTCTGCAGAAATCATCAGTGACTCACGCGCTCCCTCCCCATGGAAAATCGGCTGTCATGGGGCTGAGATCACTTGGGAAGCCTCCTGTGACATCAGCAGCAGTGGGAGAGGTGCAGGGACGGGCTGACACTGCAGTTCTTCCCCACACTGGGAATGGTGTGGCTAAGATTTGGGGTGTTTCCATGAGCAGGAGGGTGACAAGGCACAGGGAGGCTTCATGCAGCTTTACCTGACACCTCACCTGTGTTTGTGGCTGTTGGTGAGCATTCAAGTGAGTCAGAGCATCCACCTCCCACATCACCCTGGGCTGGGAGCCCGTGGGAGAGGCTCAACACCTGGAAAAACTGCAACGTGTGGATTTGTCCCTGGAAATTGCTGTGTGTCAGGAGCACTGAGAGGTTTGTGCTGAGTCTGTTCATCAAACAGCTCCCACTGGCACTATTCAACCCATATCTGCACTGCCAGATGGATTTTTAAGGAAACCCTCTTTTAATTCCAGCATTTTTCCATGCCAAGCCTGCAGCTGTTTTTTTCTAACCCCCTCCAAATTCAACACCATCTCTAAAAAGTCACCACAATGTTCCAAAACCTCAAACATTTTATTAAAAAAATAACTTACTGCCTCTTATATACAAACTGCTTGAATGTGCACTTATAAAATACTGACACCTCCCCTGTGGCAGGCAGGAGGAGTGAGTTTTCCAGGTGTGCACCTGGCTCTGACTCCAGGGAGGGATGTTTGGATCGACCACTGAACCAGCTCCACTTGTCTCCGTGGCATTCCCAGCTCAGGGTTCACTGATCACACAAACAGGTAAGCCCAGAACCCAAAATGAGGTGCAGAGTAGGTTTAGGTGCTCTTAGGTGTGAGCAGTCCTGTTGTAGTTCATGGAATTATGGAGGAAAGGTATAATCTAACGGAAAGATTGGTCTGCACACTCTGTAGGATTTAATAGGCTTTTCCCCCTGAAGATATTTCCTGAGTATTTCTAAGACTTCAGACACCACAGAGAGACACAGACCCAATTCCATAGTGTTTGCACTCGATGAATGATCCCAGTGAGGCCATGGCACACCACAGGATCAAGCTGTCAGCTGAGGACAATCCCCACTGCTTGGAGTTAACAGCAAAACGCACAATGATTTCACCAGGAATGAGGATTCAGTGAGGAAAAACTGGGACTAGAGCTCTGTGCTCTGCTTACAGGCAGCTGAGCCACTCCAGGTGGGAACAGGGAAGGAAACCCCTCACCCACACACTCTCCCTGGAACAGAACCTGTCCCAGGAGGTGCTGTAAACATCAGCTGAGCTGGAGATGTTTCTCCTTGCAGCCTGGCTGGATCCTCCAGCCTCAGCCCTAACACAGTTCCTGCAGAGTCCAGAGCCTAAATCCCTGCTCCTGGCTCTGCTGTGCTTCCAGGTGAGGCATGGGGAGCACCCCAGGGTTCATGGGACCTCCACAGGGCACACACAGCTCAGGAGCCTGTGTCATGCCTGTGATCTTGTACAGCATCTTCTCGAGCAGCTCCATCATGTCTGCGTCGCCAATGAGGGGTCGGAAGAAGAGGTCTGTGATGAGGGCAGGAGGGATGGATTTCAAGGTGGAAGCAATCTGCAAAATGTGGTAAAAGCGGCCTTGGTCCTCAGGGTGCAGTGGCTGAAGGACACTCTGGAGAGCTCTCTGGGCTTCCCGTCGGAGGCTGTCGATGTGGGGGGAATCACTCAGCCCAGGGATGTCTGTGAGGGAGAGGAGGGAAAGCCAGTGAGGATGGAGGCTGGAAAACATTCCCAGGTTTCTCCCACTCCCACCCATCCCAATTTCTCAGCAGGGATCTCCAAGGCCACATTAATGGGGTGTATGCAGCACTACTGAGGTGTAGCTATTCCAGGGATGCAGCTTGAGGGAAGAAATGTAGTTAAGTGGGAAAATCATGCTTTAAAAGTAAAGGAAAATGGGATTTAGTGTCTTCAGGGCAGGCAAAAGTCTCCAGCTTTTACCACTACATTTCACATCTTTCCTCCCCATTTCCCAGTGCATTTGGAGATGAGCAGAGTTGAGCAAAGGTGGCCAACCCTCTCACTCTGACACCTGAGTGTCTCCAAGCCAAGAGGTCTGTGTTTGCCCAGGGAGCTGGTGGAGTCACCATCCCTGGAGGTGTTGAAGGAACAACTACACGTGGCACTTAGTGCTCTGGTCTAGTTGATAAGGTTGATATCAGCCACAGGTTGGACTCCATGGTCTTGAAGGTCTTTTCCAGCCTCAATGATTTTGTGTTCAGGTGTGGCTGGTAGAGCCACCAGGGTCTGGCACTCACCTGGATTGAAGAGAACGGCTCCCCTCAGGTAGGCATATTCCCTGGGGCTCAGGTCCATGCTCCAGAAGGTGTTGAGGCAGCGCTGCAGCCTCTGCACAGCCGCCACCGTGGGCTGTGTCCTCTCAGGCTCCTGCCCTTTGCTTTGCCTGTTGAGGAGGATTTTCTTAAGCATGCTGGGCGCTGGGTTCTCCATCACCTCGAAGGTCACCATCTCCTGCACCAGCCCCAGCAGGAAGAGAGGAACCCAGCAGCTTTCCAGCAGCAGGAGCTGATCCTCCCGTGGCAGGTCGCGGAAGGCAGGGACGTATCTCATGAAGTCGATGGTTTTGATCAGCACGTTGGAGGCTGCTCGGCAGGTGACGTGGGGCGTGCGGAGCCGCACGGTGCGGCGCTGGTGGCACAGGCAGCGCTGCTGGGCCGGCCTGTGGCTGCCTCCGGAGGGCTGCAGGTTCTGGCTTAGCAGGGTGTAGAGG